AGTCAAAAAGTATTATCAAACAAAGAATTTGTTAGTTACAGAGAATACAATACAATAAGATTATTAGAAGATAATATTCTCCGCCTTTCTTTATTTAGAAAAAAAAAGCCATGACCCTATTGTAACTAACACATACTATATAAGACTTTTATGAAGATTGCATACTATGTTCTAAGATTAGTTTGAATTCCCCATGTTCTTTCTTCCATTCCCACGCCCATAAAAAAAACAAATAGATAAATAAGATTTCACTACACACAAATCGTTTGTATTGTCCATTAACTCAATCCATCCACCAAAAAATCTCATTGCAAGTCACTCTTTACTTAAAAAAAATAAACATTAAATGTAACAAATATATAACACCAACGTGTTGCCATAATTCCCCTTCCTCACACATTTAATCAAGCTTCACATTAGAATACAAAAGGGTGTCCCTCGTGATTGGCATATTAAACAAAAAGCATATCTGCAAAAAAGCAAACAGATATTACGCTTTTCAACAGAACAAAACAAAACAGTATACTGTGAGACTGAGACTGACACTGATATCAATGGGATAAAAAAAACTTAGAGCTTACCCCCATGAGAGTGGAAACTATAAGAATAATCCCGGTAATCCAAGCTAGGGTTTTTCTAACAACAGCCACTTCTGCAATCTTGGCAAAATCGGGCAAACTCTTTTCCTCTAACCACCGAGGATGTTGTCGGGAGGTCAACTTTATGGTCAACATTGAATCAGATTCTTTAGTAGGTGACCCATTGAAAATAATCACCCCAACAATTTGACCTATAACATGACCAAATATACAACATTATATTATACTATATATATTAAAAGCGAAGTCCTTAGCAATAGTACATTTTCATGTTTTTAGAGTTTTGACACATAAGTATTGTATTGTATAGAAAAGGTCCTTACAAAGTTCTTTTTTTTTTTACAAAACGAGTCCGTATATTTAAGATTTTCATATGTTGACAGGTTTGGCCCCTATGTAGAAAATAATTATACTATATATTAAAAGCAAAGTCCTTAGCAATAGTACCTTTTCATGTTTTTACAGTTTTGCCACATAAGTATTGTATTTTGCAAGATTTAGTCCTTGTAATTGTATTGTATAGAAAAGGTCCTTGCAAAGTTCTTTTTTTTTTACAAAACGAGTCCGTGTATTTAAGATTTTCGTATGTGGACAGGTTTGTCCCCTATGTAGAAAATAAAGTACAAAAATTGAACCTATATTTACAGAAAAGGTCCTTGCAAAGTTCTTTTTTTACAGATTCCGCCCATGTGTTTAAAAATTACAAAAATGGTCCTTACCTTATAGAAAATTTACAGATTACGCCCACGTGAAGCGGGGTGCGGGTATTTTCTAATTGGTGATTAAAGATTGAATATTTTACATATATCTATTAAAATTTTCAATTAATGTTTGTAGTTTGTTTCTTTTTTCACCCTAATAAAGTGGCTAAAAGGGTGATGATGTATGTCTGGATAAAATGTTGTATACATAAAGTCTGTTTCTTTTCTAGACTAGTAAATGACCATTTTACCCTTACATTCAAAAATTAATGTGAAAGAAGTTGGGAGGAAAATAGAAGGGCAAATAGGCGAATTAAAGAAAAGATGACCTTTGTATGTTGTTTGAAGGGAGTTGTAAATCATGGAGATTGAAGTCACCAACAATTCAGCACCTTTATGAACAATATCATCTGTTCCATAGTGTTCTTGAAAAGCCTACAACATTTTAAACTTAAAAATGTAAAGACACAAAAGCAAAAATGTTACAAAAGAATATGATAAAAAAAAAAAAGGGGAAAAGAATATTATTTATAACCTTAAAACCATCAAATTTTCCTTTGATCAATTCTGATGGAGTAAGCTTACTTCCCGCCAAATCTTCATGCAATTGCATTGCCTTTTGAGCATTGTGGAAAAGAGAGACGAGGCTGATTGTAAATTCTCTGTCTGCTTTCTGCAAATGAATGAAACAAGAACAGGGGTATAATCGTCATTTACCACAACGGTAGAAAATCAACAATGTTATAAAGTGATGAGATAGAAAGAATGGAAAATGGAAAAACAACCTTTGACATATGAAGATTGATTTGAACATTGTTTGACAAGGGGATAGTCAACTCTCCGGTCAATGGCTCGGCTGCATTGTTAATGTGTTCTCCACCCAACCAAAGGGCCTGAGTTGATAATCAATGGAAAGGGTAAAAATGTAAAATGACACATGGGAAGATATAGTAGAGTGTAGTATAAGTTGAAACTTACAAAGTTGGTCAAATCTTTTTCGGTTGATTCCATATCTGAAGGTAGGGGTTCATTTAAAGAAACTAGAGACAATTCATCTTCTGCAAATATGTGGATGAAAAGTTTGTCATTTACATAAATAAATTTGTTTATTAGGCTGCATTTATTACACTACACAGTACATGACATGACATAACATGACATGACATGGCAAAATATGACATGACAACACATGATATGACTACACAGTACATGACAAGACACAACATGGCAATACATAACTAGACAGTACATGATATGACATAACATAGAAAAATACGACATGACATGATATGACATGGCAACATATGGCATGATAACACATGACATGATATGGCATTATAAAACATGGCATGATATGACTGGACAGTACATGACATGACATAATATAGAAAAATACGACATGACATGATATGACATGGCAAGATATTGTATGATAACACATGACATGATATGGCATGATAAAACATGGCATGATATGGCATATGATAAAACATGACATGATATGGCATGATAAAACATGACATGATAAGGCATGATAAAACATGACATGATAAGACTGGACAGTACATGACACAACATAACATGGCAAAATATGACATGACATGGCAAGATATGACATGACATGATATGGCATGACAAAACATGGCAAGATATGACCGGACATGACATAACATAGAAAAATATGACATGACATGGCAAAATATGACATAGACATGACAATTCATGACTTGACAAGGGCTACTTTTGATGATAACATGTCCAAGTCCCACCTTTTTTGGGTGGTGCAAAAGATTGTCAGTATAATGAATGCTAAATACAGTACAACTTGTTCTGTGTGTCTTGTCTTGCGTAACAAAAAGTGTCTTACAGATAAAAGGAGGTATTACCTGAAAGTTGAATTTCAGCATTTTCAATAGCCACTTCACTCTTAAGAGCCCTACTGAAAACATCACCATCTGAATTAAGTCCAAGATGCTTATCTGCAAGTAGCATAGCAATATTTAAAAAGATAAATTCCATTTGGAAGTAATTTGGAATATAATAGACACAAATTTAGGCACCTCCTAATCCATTGATCTCTAGCAAGAAAACAGCATGAGGCCTAACAAAGGGGTTGGGTGTAAGTACCTCATTCAACTGGAAGATCAATAAAGAATTATATCAGATTTAAAAGAAGAAATCATGCACTAAGATATTTGAAAAAGTTAAGAAGTAATATTGCCTTTTCTGAGCTTGCAGAAGATAATGTTGAAGGAGGTGCAAAACCAAGCAAGACTGAAATGGCAGCACCTACTTCTGGAAGGGATAATGATTTGGACTGCAAAATCAAGATATGAAAATAAGATTTCTTTTTAATATGAGATTTCAAATTCCAACTATGCAAATAAGATTTCTTTCTTTTTAACATATTGTCTTTTAGTTCAAACATATACATGATAAATATACCAGATAAACTAATAAGCAAGACTTCAATGCTATGGCAACATGTAACAGTTGATCTATTGAAGTAAAAAGTTCCCATTTTATATTCAAGAATCTTTTGTTAGTTACTTTTAGAATTGTTTTACAAGTATATGACGATGTTCTTTCCAACTTTTGCAAATGTAGTTAATGTTGTTTGAACTGTGACTTTTTGATAAAAAAAGTTAAAGAGACAAAGTTAGAACATCATTTGCTAAAGCTTAATCTTAAGAGCAGTGATTATTACCCTTTCAAGTGGCTGCTAATCAATGATTCCAAAATCATGGATACTAGGTTGTTAATAACTTTTATGGTCAAAAGAAATATCAAAAATCTTACTTGTTGCATTGTTGTGAACTTGTATCAGATCAAAATCTGGAGGTTTTATCTTTCAACTTCAATATATGACATAGTATAACAACATATGGCATAATTATGTGATCAATCAAAGTCAATTGCAGTGAACAGGGGTAATTAGAACTAAAACGATCAGCAAACTTGAAGTAAAAATTAAATACGAAGTTACCTACCTCGGATGAGTGAGATTGAAAATAGTGATGAGTTGAGCTATCGAGGAGATAAACTGAACCTGTTCCATCGGCCTATTCGCAAATTAAACAGATATAATTCACCGATCCAAATCGAATTTCGATTAAATTGAAGTATTGAATTAGAACAGAGATCATGTATACGAACCTTAGATTGTAAGCAGAGAATCGATGAAATAATTAGCAAAATCAAAGTCAAGCTTGGAACTCTTATAGAATCCATCGAGAAAGAGAAATCCGATCCACGATTTACAACTGAAACCGAAATGTTTTTTATTAATCGTATTTCAACAAGATGAGGTCGGGAAAAAAGCTTCAGGAAACGCCGTCGTCTTGGACATGTGTTTCATGAAATGCATACAAGTCGTGATAAGTATTGGGTCATTTGTTGGGCCGTTTGGGCCTTCCTCTTGTATAACTTATAGATGCACATAATTTAAATCCAAAACTAATTCTTAAAAAATATTATCGGATAAATTAGGATCCGGATGTTTTCTAATTTTTGTATTGGATTTATATTATATTTGGTTTTAAAATTAAAAAAAAAAAAAAGTAAAAAGGTACGTCAACATAACCATATAAGCCTAGAAACCAAAAATACTAATAGTTTTAATTTTAGATTTGAAATTCGTCGTCTTAATGGAATTAGAGTTTATCTTAACTCATAAAACTCTAGAATTTTGTCTTCAGCAATGTCACCGTCGTCGCGTGATAACCCTTGTGTAAAATCTTCTTCATGGATGCATTCGTTAACACAGGTGCTAAAAATAGTAGAAACACAATTTTGTATCCTTTCAACACCGTGTAAGTAATCTTTCAAACAAACATATACTACTATTCATTCAACGATGAGTAACAACATTCGTTCCGATATTACACCAAAAGAAAATGCAGATTTTAAAACTACCATAGAAGTTTGGAATTTAGTAATAAAACTATCATAGAAGTTTGGGAGGTTATTAAGTTATGAACCATGACTGCTAGAATTGAAAATTATAGTTGTTTTTCTCTCCACAAAACAAAAATATCAAAGATTTAAATTCCTCGACATTAAAGCAGACTAAAAAGTTTTATGTTGTATAATTTTCCTGGAAAAATGACACTGTAGCACATGAAAGTTTTGGTATTTGTCTAATTTGGTCACTAAAGTTTTTTTTTGTACATTAGACCACTAAATTCCATTTTTACTTTTTAATTACACCATTATTCAAAAAATTAGACGGTTTACCGGTTCCAATGCTTATGTGGTTGGGTGATGTGTCCAAAAGCTTACGTGTAACACGTATGTGGGATCCTGATGTGTCGAAGAAGCTGACTCGTCCAACAACCCTTATTAATTGAAACCCTGAATCGGACCATTATTCAAATGTTACTTACCCTTTTGTGAAAAGTCAAATCCTCTCCATCGACTCTTGCCATCCTCAAGAACAATGTCTTCCACCTCGTCCACTTCAAGGAATTAGCTACAAGTGACTCGTTTTTAAGTGTGAGAAGGGGTAAAGCTTTGTAATTGCGACGTTCCAGCTAAAGAACGAATGTGTTGGAAGATAACAAACCCTGGGAGGCGTTTCTGAAATTGTAAAAACAGTTTGGTAGGTCCCGATAATCCTAATCATGCTACCTTCGTATTTTAGGGTTTGACTGTGGTGTTTCTTCGTGTAAAGCCGATCATGCTAGATTTGTATTTCGAAAAAAAAAACCCTAATTTTATTTTCTTCTTGAGGAATCTTTGTGATCGTGAATCAAATCCATTTCGTTAATACATGAAAGGCAGCTGATTTCCTTAATCTTTATTTACTATCTAAATCAAAGCATTTTTATTTTTTAATGGATTGGCTATTTACAGACTAGGTTTAAGAAATGTAACTTCATTGAATGGAAAGACGATGAACACGAAGAAGGGTACTACAAAAATCTTCTATATTCTTTGAAGCGGAAACTGGATGCTAAAGAGGATCTGTCTGAGATGCACAATTTGAGGACAAGGATTGTTGGAGTGGAGTTCTTGCTGTCATAGGAGAAGTGTAAGGTGGCAAAGAGTGATAAAGATGTTTCTAATTCAAGGAAGGCTATAGGCAGGTACAGGATGATAGTTGCATTGTTGTTTGCTGGCTTGGTCTTTTGTGTTTTGAAGTTAGGGAGTGATTGTAGTTAGTTAGGGGGTTGGTGTAAGCTTTTGTATGTTTTTGTAAAGGCAGACTAGAAAACTCCGTAATGATTGACATTTTGTATGTTTGGAAGCTGCTTTTAGTTAGAATTTGGGGGTGTCAACCTTGGTATGTTGATGTTGTAAGCTGATAAGTCCCTAATGAAAGGGCATTTTATAACTATTGTAAAGCCATATTGAAAGTCCCAATGGTAGGGCATTTTGTATAATCAGATGTTGGAAATGTTTATGTTATTGAAACATGCATGACTTGTTTTCCTTTTATTATATATAATTAAATTGGTTACAGTGCATGGTATTATATTGGGAATAAAGTAGAAAGTGGTCCATGTGAAAGTACACTATGTATGGGGACCATTTTCAGTTAATAGTCAGTGGATGTTTTTATAATGGAAAAATGGGACCTTTTAACCCATTAAAGGAACCATATGCGGGACCATATAACACATTCACATGTATGCACATTATTCCAAATTTTTCCATGTAGAAATATACAAAGCCATATGTGATGACTTTACTTAAAAAGGCAACATACTTTCATAAGTGACCAAGATATCCTTTCATGTAATTAGTTTACTTAAAAAGGCAACATACTTTCATAAGTGACCAAAATACCCTTTTATGTCATGAGTTTACTTAAAAAGGCAACATACATTCATAAGTGACCAAAATATCCTTTTATGTAATGAGTTTACTTAAAAAGGCAACATACATTCATAAATGACCAAAATACCCTTTTATGTCATGAGTTTACTTAAAAAGGCAACATACATTCATAAATGACCAAAATACCCTTTTATGTCATTAATTTACATACAAAATGCAATATACTTTAAAACTTCACTCCAAACTTTACCAAACTACCCTTTTCTGTCCTTAATTTACTAATAACACAACATGGAATAAAAATGACCAATATAACCTTTTCACATCACATGTACATAATGCCACACCCCCGAACCGGGACGGCGAAAACGTCCGGGGACGGATGACTTCATGTACAGTATCATAACAATTGAATATGAATGAAACATAGCAACCAAACATCATACATTGGAAATACACACTTACATAGTTTACATATTGAACTTGTTCATCAGTTACATAAAAGTAAGATAAGTAAAATTTCTTGAAGTCGCACTACTTGATCTCATAGTCGAGCTTATTACCTGCTACTGGGTCCCTGAGAATACAAGTCGTTTTGAAAAAGCGTCAACTAAAAAGTTTGTGAGTTCATAAGCATTTTTGTATAAAATGGTTTTGTACTTGTTTAGAATAGTTCTCTTAGTTCTTTTAGAAAATCCGATATTTCTTATGAAAATGATTTGTAAGTCTCGTTCCCAAACTATGAATATATGCATGCATGTCCTTTGTTATCTTTTGTTTGTAAAAGTAAAACGAATATTCCCAGAAAATCCGATATTTTCTAAAAATAAATGGTTTGAAATATTTGTGTCCGGTCTTATATTAATGCATGTGTGTTAATATTTGCGAAAATAGAAAGAGAATGATCCCAGACAACCCGATGGTGTCTGCGTAAGAGAATGCTGGAATCTCAACCCCCGTGGTTGAGTACCAGCGCGTATAGGTTACCGTTTTATCCAAAAAGAAGGTTTCCCCCGTAAATTTTATAACGTTAATTCCTCTAAGTGAGCCGCTATAATCATACTTGATAATGACAATTTCGCCTGTCATGACGTCTTTGGGACGCCGACAGAATAAGGTACGGTTTGTCACCCTAGACTGGCCTAGTCTAACTGTAGCGAACAGCTCAGCTGTGGGGCGTCACCCCCGTATAGATCTATACACAAACTCACACTCTCCCTCCAAGAGACTCTGGTTATAACTACAGGCTACGGTCGTACACTCAATAGGTGTCAACCGACACGTCTCACTAGATCCTTAATCAAATTTACGCGGAAAAAGAAAGAGGATCATATAAGGTATATTCCAGGAGCAATAAACATGTAAGTGAACAACTAAGGCCCACTAAGCATGTAAAGTATTTCTAGGCTCAAAAGGAATGAGATTATATATATATCCCGGGCTCAATATACATGTAAAAGGACAACTAAAGCCCACTAAACACGTAAAAGGACGCTAAGGCCCACTAAACGTGTAAAAGGACACTAATGCCCACTAAACATGCAAAAGGACACTGAGGCCCACTAAGCATGTAAAAGGACACTAAAGCCCACTAAACATGTATATTATATCCAGGCCCAATAAGAACGTAAATAAATATATATATATATATATATATATATATATATATATATATATATATATATATATATATATATATATTAAGTAAATATAAGTTAACATGTCTAGATGTTTTAAAAGTATATATAAGTTATACAAACTTGCATCTAAAACATGTATAAGAGCTTTTAGCATGATAAAAAAATTTCTTGTTTTTAACCTTTCTGTCCCTCTTTTTAGAAAAAAAATTATAGAAAAATCATCGTAAGCCGAAATTTGGATCCGTAAACTCTGAGGGTTTGGAAAAGGAGTCTACTTTACTCATAATTTTTATTAAGATTTTTAATGGCCTCAAAGCAGTGTGAAAATGTTCATCTTCACAGACTGGTCCGAAATCATTCCTAAAATGATAGGCAGTTTTGTAAAAATCGCCAAAACTTGTGGAAAAATCGTATGAATGCGTGAGAGTAGTCATTTTAAAGGTATAAACCTGAACGTTTTGCATGTAAAACATTTTTGAAAAATATTACCATCAAGGTGATCAAAACAGTCCGTAATTAGACCAAAACATTCCTGTTAAAAGCTGATTTTTGAGTTTAGGTTATAGAAGTTTGAACACAACACTTGTTTTTGCTATTTAGAGTGTATAATCTCAGATCTACAAGTTTTCATGTAATATATAAGACAATCATACTTTTCTCATGGTTTTTATGAAGATCTAAGTGATAAACTTCATGTTCAAGTAAAGATCCAAAAGTTAAACACTTAACATAGTGGTACATGCAAATATCCAACGGTTAAACGAGAGTTGACTTATATTCTCCCCCGAAAACATGAAAAATACGAAAGATATGGGGGTATGAAGCTCACATTGGGGTTTTTGAGATGTAGATGAAGATGAAGATGAAACTTTGAACCTAGCTTGAGTTCTTGATGAGTTTTGTGTAGTTTTGGTGTTCAAGTTATAATCTTTGATGAGAACTCTTGGATGAGTGGATGAACTTCCATGGAGGTGATGTTATCCAAAGATTAGAGTAAGATTGAATACTTTAACTCCTTTGAAGCTTGGAGTTACTCTTGAGAGAGAATGGAAATGGACAGAAGGTAAAATGATAAGAGATGGTGGGGCTTTTTGGAAGGAAATCATCCAAATATAGGGAGTAGGAATTTGATGTGATATTTACTTGGGAATCCGTTGGTTAACTTCATGGATATATGTTGAATATTAAAATGTATGGGAAAATGGGAAGTAGCATCAAATCAGCAAAGTCAACACTTTTATCCTTGTCTTATTCATATCAATGATTTAAAATAATACCTTTACAAATATTAAATATTATTTTATGTAAATATGTTTTAAATATTCTAAGTTATGAAAAACACGAGTTTGGGGGGATTTCCGACGTCAAAATATCTTAAAATGACGAAATGGTTCGAGATGGTCTAAAATCCAGAGTCAAATGGTGAATTCTGGAGTCAATCTTCAAATTTCGGAGTCAAACCATAAGTTCCGAAGTCTCTTTTCAGGTTCCGGAGTCGCACAGCAGCTTCCGAAATTGAGGCACTACTAGAATATAGGCCTTTAATGACGCGCAAACAATGACACACAGTGATTTACGATACGCAAAAGCGTATGCCCTAAAAATAATGTCATCTCTTCTAAAATTTGAAGGATTTAGGACGCGCATTTTTGCGTGCCCTTAAAATTAGTGTCAGAACAAAAAAAAAACACGGAGGGCACTCAGCATAAAAGGCGTGTCGTCTAATCATGTCGCTTTATAATTTTTAAAATGAACGCGCGTTTGGAATATTTTTCTTATCCAAAAAATCACAGGGACCATTTTCTAGGGTTTTGTCAATGAGGGCTCTCTACCACGTTCTACATCAACTCTCCTCCTGAAACCTTCAACAACATTCTCTACCTCGAATCACCTCCTGCCGGCGACCTCGACTCATCTTTTTCTGCATGCCAACTTCTTACATTCCCATGGTCCGCCAATCAGATCTGATTTATAAAGGCTCGGGGCTCCGACATGAGTTCTTCCCTTTTTGTTGTATCTTAACAAATTATATCCCTATTATCAAGCCATGTTAGAATCCTAATTCCAGAAGAATCTGATTGGTTCTTCTTGTTTCATCAAAATCGGAGCAGAGCAGATGATGTCCGATGGAGGGAGTGGATCCCATTACGTCCAAATGCAATCGGAGCCGTCGAGGTTGTCATCGTTCTTCTCGTTTCATCAAAATATGCCTGAGGGAACTCGAATTTTCAATGAGTTGCCCAAGGCCACAATTGTACAAGTCTCTCATCCAGACACCGGTGATATCAGTCCCATGTTTCTTTCTTACACTATTGACTTCCAGTAAAAATAGGTATTTTTCTTTAAATCGCAGACTGTTTCTGGATTATCATGTGTTTGGTTTAATTTATTGGCGATTTATCAGATGCAGTACATATGAAAGGGAAAGAGATGTATCTGAGGACAACATGAAAAGTGTACTCACTATAGCTGCAACTGCTTTCATACTCTCATTTGCTACAAAGGAAAATGTCGAGGTTTATTTTTTCTGAAGCATCATAAGACAGCTACAAATCATGTTTTATGTTGATTGTCTTTTTTATTATTGCAGATCCGAGTTATATG